CTTGGTCTCATTGACATTTTGAACCAAACAGTTTGGGGATAGGAGGGCCGGTTCCTTGTATAATAGGCTGCTTAGCAGCATCCTCGGTGCAAACCCAGCTATGACAACCAAAAATGTCTGTGGACATTGCAAACATCTCCAGACGCACTGTTGTAGAGCCAGCCTCTGGGGGAAGCCAGTCCCCACCTTGAATGCTGCAATTCTTTCTCTCCTGGCCTACTAGATGCAGAAGCAGCCCAGCATCCAGGCTGGGCAGAGGGCTTTCAGCTATCACGTTCCCCTGGCAACCTACTCTAGCTCCAACCTGTCCCTGGCCTTGCGGCCTGCTCCTTCTGCATGTCCCTGGTGATCTGCCTGTCTTTATTCTCCCCAGTCACCAGCCTAACCAACCTCCTCACTCCCGGCCCCGTGGTTGCTGGGGGCTCCGGGGCTTCTCCCTGCAGTCATGTTCAGGCTTTCCTTCCTGGCCTCTAGGTGAGCCGCAACCAAAGAAGTGCCCTTGAAGGTGCTCTGCCCCAAAGCAGGGGATGCAGGGGGGCGGGGGGAGCACTGAGGAATGCCTAGCTTGCCACAAACACCCTGTGAGAGGCTCTCACTCAACATGCTTTCTCATGGAATATTCTAGATTGTACTCCCCATGCACACTCCCAGAGCCCATCACAAACAGCCTCGAGAAAGCCTTCCAGAACAAGTTCTCAGAGGGAGATTGGAGGAGGAGCAGACACGAGCATGGACACTACACGCAGTTGGGAAAGGCCAGGGCACCACCCCATTTAACCAAGTGCTCCTGGATCCATGCCCCAGAATCCCCACAAGACCCCTTGTCAGCGTCAGTGCAGAGTCTAACAGGAGGAATGACTGACCCCCAAAGTGAGTCCACCTGCCAGAGAAAATGCAGGTAGTCAAGCAGCCGGGGCTCCATGTGTGAGTTAAAGCCTCACCTGGGTGGGTGCTGGGCTTCCGCCACCACTGGCAGCCTGCAGATGGACTTGCCTCTGCTGTGCACCCTGCCGTTACTTTTTTGGGCAGTCCCCTGGTTTTCCCTCGGAAATCTCTAGGAGCTGGGCAGCCCCTCTGACTCCAACTTTGTCTTAATTCCATCTCATCCTGTTTCTATTTTACAGAGAGCTAGAGATCTGCGCATTAATGCATTGGTGGGGCTGGTTCTTACAGCTGAGGGTGGTGGCGATGGTTGATGCTTCAGTATCAGATTACTGACCCAGCTTCAGACCTTAAGTGGACACACACTTACGTAGACACACATACTTATGTAGACACGCACTTACATACAATGGACACTTGTCAGAGTCTCGTGTAGAGGTGGGGATGGAGGAGACCAGTGCTGCACTGGGCACGTGTCTGGTGGACTCCTCTGGCACTGCGGCCACAAACAGTTCACTTGGGTGCCCCACCGGAGCTGTGGGCTGGCCTGGTGCCCCAGGGCAGCAGTATTCCCTCCAGGAGGCCTTTGCTGGCCCAGGAGTGAGTGACTTCAGGCTCTGCTCTCTAGTTCCCCCAAGAAGCTCACGGCACTGAAGACAGCCCTACCACTTCCTCAGGTTTCTACAGCACTGCCCTCAGCCTGCAGAGGTGGCTCAGCCAGGAAGCAGCTCCCCCTTGCCTGTGAGCTGGAACCTTCACCCCAGAGAGCCATTGCAGACCGTTCACAGAGTCCGTTGAACGTGTGTGTCTGAGCCCACATCTACATGAAGCCCTGGATGATCTGCAGGTCGGCGGTATTCCGCTTCCACTAGGCACTAGATGCTGAATGAGAAGCTCTGGTGGGGCTGCTGGGTAAGCGCTGGGAGCCACCCCTTGGCACAAAGATGCAGCTGCCTCTTCCTGGGGAATTGCACAATGGGGAGACCTGTTGTAAGACTACTGTGCGTCTAAATTGTCTCCGTGGCAGTGGGTTGGGTTGGGTTTAGAATGTTTAACATTTGATGGCGTCTAGCTCATTTAATATGCACTCCAGCAATGTTGAGGTATCTAACTGCCACCACGGGGCTCTGAACGCATGGAGCAGGCTCACAAGTCCGTAGGACCCAAAGGGCCGTGGACCGCTCAGAGAGCCTCACTGTTGCCCTCTCTGAATGCACCCGCCCACTCCGGATGCCCTTTCCCTAGTCGTTTCCCTAAGGTTTGGTGATTACTGCTCTAAGGAGCGGATGTGGAGTCCACGGCCTCTTGTGGGGGAATGGAGCGCCCCAAGGCAGCCTCTGAGCCAGCTGTATAGAGCCCCCTAGTGGCAGAAGTCATCCTCAGTGTCAAAACTGGGGTGAACCAAGCAAGACACAGAACTGCCCGTGGCCCTGCCTTACTCTCAGCCAAGTCCCCCACTGGGCTTTCCCCAACCAGCCCTTCCTCACCATGCATCTCATTTACAGCATCTGCTTCTATCCTTTCCATCAACATCTGTGGAGGGACAGAGAAGAAGATGTGGGTTTACTCATGCTTAAAATGCTAATGGTGCATGCCTATCCCAAGACATTTGCATTTTAAAGTGGTTCCACCAGCACTAACTCCTCCCAACAGAGTTCTAGTCCTGAGTGCCAATCCGAGTGCCAGGCAGTGGTGGCTGCTTAGAGAGACCGGCCGAAACTCAGTGCCATCCAGTCGCTGCTGACTCATTTGCATCGGCTGCTAACCACAAGGCCAGCAGTTCGAAACCACTAGGTGTGCCTCGGGAGAAAGATGAGGCTTTCTACCCCAATAAATAGTTGCAATCTTGGAAACTCCCAGGGGCAGTTCTACCCTGTCCTATAGGGTCTCTATGAAAGAGGCCGGCAGGAGGAAGAACTCTTCCATCCATCGATGGGGGCTCAAAGCAGACTCCGCCGTAGCCACCTGGTGGCTGACGTGGTGGCTATCGTGTCAGCCTCTGTCCTCAATATTTACGACACAAGCCTCTGCCACTTTTACAGAACAATCGGGTTGTTGTTGGTTTCTTAAATCCAGTCAATCCAGTTTTTAAACAATCCAGATTCAAGGTAAGCGTGTTGTTCTTAAATCACCTCCTTGCACGTGCTCACACCTACATGCACATACGTGGCCCAGCCTCAGCTGAATGTGGTAGGTTTTACTTCACACGAGGCCCTTCCTCAGACTGCCAAATGGGCAGCATGTTAAGTGCCTCCCCTGCAGGTCTCCCCAGGCCACTGCTGAGGGGGGCAAACGGAAGGAGGCCCTGTTTGACACTGGTGACGGAGGGAGTCCAGAACACACAGCTGTCATGGCCGACACACCAGGTGGCCCTGGAAACCACTTTTCTTGGCTGTCATGGCCCCAGCCTGGTGGCTCAGCCCCATCAGCTAGTATCTATTAAGACTTCAGGGGAGCATGCTCCTTGGAGCCGGCGGGCTGCCAAGTCAGGGGTAGACAGAGGAAGGCTCTGCTGCTGCTGGTTCCACTGAGGGAAGGTGGAAGGGGGTCATCCATGAGGAGCGGGAACAAAGTCGTCAACGTTGAGAGGGGTTTGGGCAACCTCATAGGATGGTGTGAGGCAGGATCTCCTGATTGTAAGGGCAGATTCCATCCAATTAGTCCTTGGGTGTTGTATGTCAGCAGCCTTGATGCCTAGAACAGCCCTTGGCCCCAATGGGGGGAAGCCGCCTGCTGAGATGAAGGGGTTTTGTCAGGATGTATCCTGCAGAGGGGACTCAAAACAGTGCACCCAAGTGCCATGGGCCCCCAGCCTCCTGTGGTTGATGTGAGAATGGGCGTGGCCTTGGGTAAAGAGAACCCTCAGAGTCCTTAAAATGAGCCTCTGACCCCTCCATCAATGCTGCCCTCTGCCCTAGGACAAGCACCCTCCTTTCCCTGCTGATGTCTCTCCTGAGGACTGTGTAAGATACACACAGGCACACGCACACACACGTTGATGGCAGTGCTGATTCCCACTCATCATCACACCCCACCCCCAGACAGTGTTCAACTGCCCTTCGGGGGTTCCAGGCTGTAATCTGTACAAGAGTAGAATGCAACTCGCTTCGTGGGGTTTTCAACAGTCAGCTTTCCGGGAGTCAGTTACCAGATCCCACTCCCACAGAGCTGCTGTGTAAGTTCCAACTGCCACCCTTTAGATGCATAGCCGAGCACTCATCCATTGTAGCCCCCAGACTCCATACGTGCGCACCCACACGCACACAGACACATTCGTGCACGCACAGCAGAATGTCCTATATCGTGCAAGTCATTCTGTGCAGAAGAGCTTCCATAAAATGCGGCCCGGGGTTTAAAATGAAACTTGCATGTGGGAATCCATCGGATTTGGCTCTATTGACCCAGGGGTGGAGCTATCTCGGGAAGTTTACTGTAGAATAATTAAGCTTGGCTCAGCTGCATGGTCATTCGCTGTTCTCTTTCAAGTGGTAGAAGCTAACAGGGCATGTACTCAGGCTCGCTGGGACGCACTGGGCAATGGGAGAGTTCGGTAAAGAGCAAACTAGCCCTTCAAGCCCAAAGGCAGCAGGGGAAGTGGGCTCCAGCCAGGCTTCTCGAAGGAGGTACAACTTGATGGCTACTCCTGGGAAGAGGGAGGATCCCACCCGTAGCATAGCTCCAACTCCAGGAAAAACATGGTCACGAACAAGGAGCCGAGGCACCTCCTCTCTCGGACAGAATCCACTTAGAAAGACCAGGTGAGGTTGCCCAAACCACCTGGTTTCTGTGGCTCAGACAAACGAAGGCCCTAGACCAGAACAAGACGGAGAGAGGGATGCTGGGTCACCCAGAGAAATGGAAGCCCAGCCTTCATTCCTGGGAGTCACCCACTTCTCCAGACGAAGGCCCTCTTGGATCTGTGAGGTGGGGGTAGGGGGGGTGGTCAAGGAAGAAAAGCAAGAACTGGAAATAGCTCGAACTCTGAACTTGGTTGTACTCCTTGAGCTGGCTCCACACGATTGTGTTGACAGCTTTCTGATGGGATGACGCTGACCCCTTCTCACTTAACAAGTCAGGAACGGAGACGTCTTAACCCATTTGGCTTCCATTCTTTCCAGAAGGAGAAGAAGAGCGGGCTACTGAAACTTCTGGCGGGAGCATCGACCAAGAAGAAGTCACGGTCCCCACCATCTATCTCTCCGACCCACGACCCCCAAGTGGACGCCTCCCTGCAGGGCGCTGTGGGACCCGAAGTGTCCTCCCTGTCCAGCCATGGGAGAGCAGGCTCCTGCCCCATAGAGAGCGAGATGCAGGGCGCCATGGGAATGGAGCCCCTGCACAGGAAGACCGGCTCCTTGGATCTGAACTTCTCCTTGTCCCCTTCGAGGCAAGTGCCTCTTTCCGTGGCTGCTATCTGCCCCGAGCCCAAGCCGTTGTCCAGAGAGAGGTAAGGTGGGGAGGGGGGCTGGGCGCCCACACCCTGTGCGCTGGCGGTGAGGGAGGCCAGAGACAGTGGGCGTCGAGCCCTGGAGCTGTTCTGAAGATTAGGATTCCTGGCCGCCACTCCCCAGCCCAGGCTCTCCCGGTGCTCCTGAGTGTGGATAGGAAGCAAGCATCTGGGTAAAGTGAGTGTGGGAAGTGGAGCCTATGTTGCTCTCCGAGTTCATCTGCCTTTCGGGGTGGGGCGAGTCTATGAGCTACCGAGCCCAAGCCACGAGCCATCAGAGAGCGACGGGGACTTGTGTGCCCATAAGTCGGTTTAGCACCCCTACAGTGAGCCCCACAGGCTGTGTTCCCAGGGACGGATTGTCCCTCCCCAAAATGGCTTCTCTGGAACCTCCTTCCACTCTGACATCTGAGAATTGTGCGATGTGTCTCAAAGATAACACTGGTGACTAGGTGGTCCCATGCCTGGCTGAGCTAACCAAAAGGTCAGAGGTTCTAACCCCTCGGCAGGTCCAGGGAAAAGGTACAGCAACCGGCACCAGCGGGACAGTTCTACTCTGTCCTACAGCGTGGCTATGAGTCGGACCCCACTTGATCGCACACAACAAACTCAGAATCGGCTTTAAAGGGTTTAGTCCATCAGGGTGAACCATAGGAAATTGTTGATAGGCATTCATTTTTTACCTAAAATGCCAATTTCATACCGTTCCACCTAGGAGCCCTGGTGGTGTGGAAGTCACGTGTTGGGCTGCTAACTGCAAGGTCAGAAGTTCCAAACCACCAGCCACTTGCAGGAGAAGGATGGGGCTTTCTACTCCCTTGAAGAATTACGGGCTCAGAAACCCACAGGGGCAGTTCTACCCTGTCCTAGAGGGTCGCTGTGAGTCGGATCGACTCCACGTCAGTGAGGTTGGCTTTGGTTTGGAGAGTTTTCTAGATGAGGAGTCTGAGAACCAGGGAGAGGGGACACCGCCTGCCGGGAGGCTGGACTGCCCCCAGCAGAAACTGCCTGCTGCTCCTTCCCCTCGACAGAAGGAGCCTCAGGCTGGATTTTATAGGGGGTGGGGGGTGTCAATGGGTTCATCTTCTACTTTGTAGGTGACTTACCAGCCCTAAGAGAATTCTTACATGAAGGATGGAAGGCGTTATGAAGAGATGAAAAGGCTTGTCAAGTTAGTGGGAAACCGTTTTGCTCAGCCGCTGAACATTGAAATACTGCTTAAATCAGTGGTTCTCAACCTGTGGCTCGTGACCCCTTTGGAGGTCGAACAACCCTTTCACAGGGGTCGCCTGATTCATAACAGTAGCAAAATTATAGTTATGAAGTACCAACAAAAATAGTTTTATGGTTGTGGGGGGGGGTCACCACAATATGAGGAACTGTATTAAAGGGTTGAGGCATTAGGAAGGTTGAGAACCACTGGTTTAAATAATAAAACCATAGTAATCCTCCCGGCCTGCTCAGTTAGACAGACTGGCGGAAGGTCCTTCCCAAAAGGAGTCTCCGCACTGCCCCTTAGCGAGTGGCCACTACAACCTGAGAAGCTGCTAACTGCAGATGCCCACCCCTCTCCTCTCTCCAGTCCAGGGTCGCCAGCCGTTTCTGTCAACATGTTAGACAGTGAGTATTGTTGCATCTGAGGGCTGTCCTACAGGGTCGCGATGAGACACAGCAACATCTCTGTCACAGCGACTCCCCTGACAGCACAAACAATCTGCCCAAGAGTGAGCGAAGCGGTCCAAGAACGCTTTATGGATCAGACACAAGTTTAAATGTCAGCTGGTTTGCTCATGGCATGAGATATTATGCAACTCTTGCTTTCATCTTTTTATTTTAAAATGTAAGGACTCTTAGCTCTCATGGATACAATGGACCCCACAGGCTGTCCCGTGCCAGCCCCTGGTCTAGATGAAGGGAGCAAGTGAGGGGAGGCATCTGCTCCCGTGAAGATGGGCAGCCTTGGCAACCTGGGGGCCATTTCTAGTCTGTCCTCCAGCAGGTGAGTCAGAAGTGACCCATGGCAGTGAGCTCGGTTGGTTTTGGCTGAGGCAGATGGAGGGGATTGGACTCCTGGGGCCCGGTGCCCTGCGAACATCTCTCTGTAGGCCCTGGGGGAACAGGCCAGGGGCCAGTAGTTATAGACATGTGATCAACCATTAGTCAAAATGTGTTTCTGTATTGACACCTATTCTTGGAATAAAAAACCAAACTCACTGCCATCCTGTCATCTCCAACTCCTGACGACTGTAGAGGACAGAGTAGAACTGCCCAGTGGGCTTCCCAGATGGCGACTCTTCACAGAAGTAGAAAGCCTCATCTTTGTCCCATGGAGTAGCAGGTGCTTTTGAACTGCTGACCTTTCGGATCGAAGCCCAATGCATAACCACTACCTCACCAGGGCTCCTCCTCATGGAATAATAGCTAACATTGATCAAATGTTCTGTGCCATTGGTGATACTCAGACCACTCGGTCCTCAATGTGGATTCCAGATAGACCCTGTATACAGCTTAGTAACTGCCCTCACTATGAGCCCACCATGTTTTAAGTCATCTTCTGGTTCTTCGCTCATGGAATCCTCCCAAGGACCCTGTGAGCTCAATCGCCTTGTTATCCCCATGTTATAGATGAGGAAGCTGAGGTCAGTAAAGGGCTCAGTAACTTGCTCAAGATCACACTGAGAGTAGCAGAGCCAGGCAGGGTTTAAGCCAAGGGTGGTCTGACCACATATGCCAATCTCTTAGTCACGGAAGCCACGTGATCAGCAGCCATCCACAGAGGGGCCCAGGGGTCTCTGATTTATCCACAGTATAGAAAATGCCCATTTCTGTTGGGCTATCGTTGCATCTGGATCCTACCCTACTGCCTGCCGTGTTCACTCAGGAGAGACCCGTCCCTGGAGGAGGAGATCATGTTTGTAAAGTGGAGGGCAGTGACGAAGAGGAAGGTCCTCAACAAGACGATGGGCACAGTGGCTGCCACAGTGGTTCAGACGTCGGAACAGTCGTGAGGGTGGCGCAGGACCAGGTGGTGTGTTGTTCTTTTGGATGCAGGGTCCTGATGAGTCCTGTCTGACACACAGCTCTCTTCTGGGCCCCGTCACAGCACCACCAACCGCAGAGAAGTGCCTGGGCCGGAAGCAGCTCCTCGGCCGTCAAGTAACCGCACGGATGCACTCATGCGCTCGTAGACAGCCATCACTCTCCTCCACGTCCTTGCCCCAAGGATGCCCTTCAACTTTCCAGGGACTATTGGTTCCCAGAACCTTCCTCCTTCCCCAAAGCCAACATCTAGCTGCCTGGTCTTCTGAATACAGGTCCCAGTCTCTCCTCCCTGGGTCACCCAGAGTCCGTGTGGTTCATGAGGATGATAGATTTCTACATACTTGAAAGCCTCTCTCCTATCTCACCCGAGTTTCTATCTCTCTCAACTTCATCTTCAAAGGCATGACGTCTGTAACCAACCCTCAACAGAGTGTCTTAAAAGACCCTGTGCTAAAAAATACAAAAGTAAAGAGTCCAGAAGTCTATGAGTAGCTAGAAATGGCAAAGGCTGACTTTCCTTCCCCGACTGTTCGGTCTAATCAGGGTGTCATTGTACTCAGAAGAGCCGCAAGCTGCCCGGGAGCTCTTGGCACCCTCTTAGTCCCTGAGCGCGCACCACGGAGCTTCATTAGTGAAAAGAGTTTTCCAGGAAAAGAGAAAAAAAAAAAAAACTGCCTCTAACCAAACAGCTTCCTAATGAGCCAGAAGAAAAACTTCCATCTCCCCTCAACCATAAGCCACTTAGTGTCCCAGGGAGCTCGGGATGGTTGGAGCTGAGGAGTCAGCATGGAAACAACACTGGGACAGCTCCAGAAAGCCTCCGGGCTGTGGCCTCGAAGCCGTGTGCAGACAACACCAACGAGCTTGGACGCAGAAGGGCGGGGGCAGCTGTGATCCCACACTTCGTAGAGGCGAGCAGCCCTGCTGGTGGAGGCCCCGCATAGGCACCAACTTGCCAACTGTTTATGGAGTGCGCACTGTGCGCCCCCCACTCGATGGTGACAGAAATGGGGGAAACGATGGAGAAACGCCATCAAGGGCTGTCAAGACCAAGGTTCTCGCCAGCAAATGCCTCAGAAGGAGGCTGCTCTCCCCTGGGAGGGACGGCCCGGTTCTGTCGCAGCGATATTCAAGGCTGTATTCGCCAAGTGCCTCCCAGGTCTGCACTCCCACGGGTCTTGACTGGTGTGTGTGGCTATTGCTTGAGGCTGCTCTCTTCCTTGCTCCCCAAGGAAGGAAGTCTACCTTGAAGGGGGCTGCAGAGACAGGCCAGTAGGGAGGTCATTCCTTGGGGAACTCCTTCCAGCAGGATCTAGTCCTCAGCCTACAAGTTTACCATCCCTCCCCTGTCAGTTCCCTGGCAAGTAGTCTGTCTCACAGAAGTAGACGTGTATGGACCAAACCCCAAGCCTGATGTAGAAAACCAAAGTGCCGATCAGGAATGCTTCCAATGGGACTTGCCGCTTGGGCCATCTCCTGCACACACTCTTGTCCTGTGGATAATCTGCATGGGAAGTCATAAAGTAGAACTCGTAACGAGGTGGTGTAAAAACTCAAAGACCAAACACTGCCATCGAGTCAACTCTGACTCCCAGCGAACCTATAGGACAGGGTAGAACTGCCCCCGTGGGTTTCCAAGACTCTTAACTACTTTCGAGAAGAGAAAGCCTCATCTTTCTCCAACAGAGCGCGGCTGGTGGTTTTTCAAGTGCTGATCTTGGCAATTAGCGGCCCACTGTGTGACCCCTACACCACCAGGGTTCCTCCAGTAAGGAGATATGGCTTATAAAGAACATACATGTCGCCATCGTTTTGATTCCAGCTCATAGCAAGCCCATAGCATCTTCCTGGCTGCCTTCTCTACGGATCATCAGGCCTTTCTTTCACAGTTCCATGAGGTGGATTCAAACTACCAACCTTTGGGTTTGCAGTCAAGCACAATCTGTTTGCAGCCCCAT